TGAACGTTTAATAATGACCTGCACGAGCCTGCACAATCGTACGCACAAAGTTCGTAACGACCGGTAACCATAGACGTAGTATGTGTAGACTGCTCATGGCGTTCGCAGAATGTCGATAATTTAGGGCCATCATACACAAAATGGCATAACTGCATATGCATAGCATAAGATCGTCTCGACCAATGAGCATCTAGCATAAAGGCGCCATATTGATGTAAATAGCATAGCATATCAATAGGGCGCCTTTATGCTAGATGCTCATTGGTCGAGACGGTCTTATGCTATGCATATACAGTTATGCCATTTTATGTGCGGTAGCCTTTAGAAAGAGTGCTCCGCTTAGGTGTAGAGATAGGATACGGCAGTCTATACTTTCTACGTCTATGGTGACGGTCAACAGCGCCTTTTTTTTGCTACCTAACGCCATCTTTACTATATGTCACCGCCATTTGTAGATGATAGTAGCGGCATATTTGCAAGTTACACGCGAAATTTGCGATGTGCAGTGCACGTACTAAAAAACGGTAACAGGATTGAGCTATTCCAATACTATCCTTACTGTTTTGCATAGTTTTCCACCTTTCTCCCCCCTTTTTCGTCATCTGTTGCGTACACGGGCTGCATTCGGGGAGCGCGCTATCAGCGCTATAGCGTCATTCTATTTTTATCGTTTATTAAACATAAAACAAGGATAGAATGACACAATAGTGCTGATAGCGCGCTCCCCGAACGCAGCCACGGTAGAGTATCGAGTTCTGTGTCGAGCGAACGCGTATTCATTGCGACAAACGATATTGAATTATATTCTTTGTTTTCCCCCAGAGAGAAATACAGGTTGAAGAAACATCTAATAGTCGTTTGTAGACGTTATTAGACGTTTCTTCGACCTGTATTTCTCCCTGGGCCCAGCACAAATGGCTTAAAGACATCTGAAATTTTTTAGACATCTTTTAGATGTCTTTACGACATTTGTGGTGTCTGGATTCATATGACAAAGTCGCGTCGGGAGTATGAAATACCGTGTAATCATCGTAATAAAATTTGAGAGTGCCGTTTATTAAAGAATCGCGCGTATAAACACATGTACAATGCGTGCATCGCGACGCGAGTGAATTTTTTGGTGTCACTGAGGTTTGAGGCTCAAGGAAGCTCAGGAAAAGCATCGGGCGCCGGCGAAGCAACATTAAGGTGAGTAATCATTTACTTGTTATTTTATGTGCAAAATATTGTTGAACATAAAATATGTAAAATATCTAATATTCATAATTAAAAATTGTATATATACTATTATTATATTATACTATTATTTCAAATAACTACACTTTTTTAAATTCAAAAATTATAATTCTTTCTTTGGATATATGCATAGATAAAGGAATAAATATAAAGTTTGTAGTAATATATTTTGCAATTTAAATAGCGATATTTTTAAGACAACAGTATTGTGTGTGTGAGAATTTTTATAGGAATTCATATAATCCACTTATTACAAGAAATTATATGCGAAAATAGTTTTATAAAATAATTAAAATACAGAACACTTACCCGAACATCGAGACAACATTCTTTTTCCATTGTGGTCCCCATTTTTAGAAAAATTCTTTATTGCAGTGAAACCTCACGACCAAAGTACTGTACTGTAAGATCCCACTTCTAAATTAATGTCAAAGATTTCGCTTCTGCAAAGTAATATCAGGTCAAGGATGTTTGAGCAGAGCACGAGAGACAAGGAACACGTGTGTATATTACAACGATGGACATTCAATAACCATCTTAATACATACACACGATACACATGAGGTTTGCAATGATCTGATAGTGGACATCAATAACGCTTCTTCTACTTAACGCTTCTTCTACTTAACACCATTTCTACTATATCACTGCTATCTGTAGATGATAGTAGCGCCTTATATGCAAGCTACACGATAAATTTCGTACAGTACTGTAAGACTGTGTAACGAGCTAAGGAGCAGTAACAGAATTGAGCAGAAAGCTGCAAACTTCTGATGATGGGAGAATCAACGAAAAATAATCGATAGCGCAAAAAACACATACATAAAGAAAATATAGTAAAGGATGCACGTTTACAACATTTATTAGCGAGTCAGGGAAAATACATTGGTATAAAAGAGATATTATATACAAAACAAAAAAAACTATACAAGTATAACTTTAGCAAATAGTGCACTAATTAATAAGAAACGACAGATATGGTTGCGTATTTTTAATGTTATTTATCTTTGCTTCTACGAACGGCAGATTAAATATCTGCAAATATAATTATGTTATAAATTGAATCGACACGATTCGAATGAAGTGATCGCGTCAAATTTAAACACATTTGTAGGTACTTATTGCTTATTTCTCGTACTAACATATTATTCTTCTAATTAACAAATTACTGACTAGTGCGAATCTGGATGCTTGCGACACATTACACACGTTGCTTAGAATCTTCAATGAAGCGGAAGTGTTAACGCCTCAAAGAAGAGGACGTAAGGCTACTAGTGAAAAGGTAAGGACGTAAGGCTACTGGTGAGTGACCTTTTGGTGTATTACATTCCAACGTCATCAACATGCATTAATAGATGCTATGTGTTAGAATTAATTTTTTGTAGTTATTATATTTCCTAACAATTAATTAATCAGTTAGTTTTGTTAAATGTGAATATCAAAAAGTATCGAGTAAATTTTGATGAAATAATCGAAATAATGTGCTATAAAAGCCCTTATATGAAAAGTATATTGCCTTTTATATGAAAGGTTTATTTGAAACCATAACTTGTCGTACTCCCCAAAAAGAATTCTCTCGACGATGCTTTACTCACCATTTAATATTAAAATTACATTTAACAATTTATCTAATTATTTATTTACTGTACATACTGTACACACAATATATAAACATAGAACTCATAAAATTTAATTTCACAAACTGTGTACTTGTCTGCGATTTGCATTTTTACGAATGAACAATGAAATACAAAATTACTTTTTCTCTGTGTAATCACATGGAAATGATTTATATTTAATATTAATTTCAACAAAATTTTGTAGCTTCGAGCTATTTTGGATAAAGTAGAGAAAGACTGAAAAGTATACAGTGATATTTGTGTGAATAAAAGTATTTTATTAATTTTTAAATTACAAAATTTTGTTCTAAAACAAACTTATTCTACAACCTTCGGAATTAGATTAAAAATATTCAAATCTAATACGTAATCGCACGTATTACTTTGATATATCACTCGTTTGATTAATCATTAAGTTATATTTAATTTACAACCGACTACCATCAGTCGTGATTATCTAAATTGCCTTTCCGATATTGTCAGCTAAAATTGCGCTCCACAAATAAATCGGAATTAACTTTATATAATTACATAAACATAGCTAAAATGATGCAACTGACCTTATTCCTAATCGACGTTCTTCACCATATGTTTTGGTGACAATGAACATACTTAACATATAAACACTAATATTGCACTAGATTATGGCCGAGTACGAGTGGAACACGTTGAGAAGAAGTATCGTCACGCGTAATCTTGTCGCGTAATCTCGTCGCGATCGCCACAAGTGAAAGTTTCGTTCATTCGCGTAATCATTGCCAATGAATCTTCTTCTCGTTGCTCTCCATTCAAATGCGGATTGCATATTAGATATAAATAAGGACGGAATCACAGACATAATAATATATTCAATGCGATCCTGGGATCTTTCGCAATACCGAAAGTTATAAAGCAATCTGTAATTAATGCGTTTGTAAACGCCCAACGTATTCTATAAAAAATTCTGCTTTTTCTTCCGTAATTAATAATAGAGCGAGTTACTGCATCGCGCCTTTCATTAGAGCTGTAAAGCATTACAATTATCGTCTACTTTCACGCATTGTAAAAGATCGCAGATTCTTTGGTGAATTTGGATTCCATTAAATAACAAAGCTTTCCCCGGGTCCCAACCAAATAAATTCCAACAGAATGAGGAAGATTTTCTTTATACAAAATACGAACTAATTTGGCCCCACATATTCCATAATTGATTAATTAGCTCTTTCGACCGTCAACAGTGAGACTTTGGTGTATACAGTCAAAAAAGATGCATTTTAAATATATTACACCGTACGAGGTCTGATAAGTAAGATTGCGAATTTTTTTCTCGCCACATAATAGCTTTGCAGAAGCAATTACTGTAGTGACATATCCTTATGTTTTGACAGAAAGGATGACGAACACAGCGAACACATTGTTAAAGCAAAGAATAAACATGAACTTTTTAGTAAAAAAATTCAAAATTTATAAAATAAAACGTAGAGTTTATAAAGATTAAATTGTGGAAAGAGAAAGATATTTTGGTAATGACGGCAGTCATAAAAACTATAAAACGTAAAAAACTGATCTTATCTCCTATATTGCATTGTAAAATTAATACCTATTAATTTTATTTACTGGTGAATTTTACTAACTGGTGAATTTATATTAATATAAATAATATAATAAAATAAATAATACAATATTAATATAAAATAATATTTTGAAGATAAAATAGCCAATATAATTGCCAGTAACGCGCGAAAAAAATAAATTCGCAAATTTTATTGTCAGTCCTCGTATCATACTGTGCAGCTGTTTTATCCGATATTATCAATTAATGACGCCTAGTTTTAATTTGTAGCCAATTTTTGAACAAAATACATCAATTGTTATTTATACGATGATAAATCTGTACATACTATACATACATTAATTTTTGCAAATTTATTGAATTCTTAGAGATTTGAATACTTCGATTGTTTTAATCTGTGTGATATTTAGCTTCAATGATTCTGATTAGTTCTATTTGGCGAAGTTATTCATGAATATGCAAATTTTAAATCTATTAAAAGCTCGTATTCTTTTGGCAAATTGTACGAAAAAAAATTATAAATATAAAAATTTTTAGCATACGCATTAATGAAAATATCAATAAAAATAATTATAAATATAAAAACTTTTAGCATATGCATTAATGAAAATATCAATTAAAAAAAAGGTATCATAAAGTGAAATAGAATTTGAAATTATTTGATTTCGAATTCTAGATTCTGGATCTTAAGATGTTTTTAATTCTAAATGGCTTATTGTTAGTTTCTAATGACATTAGTTCCTGAGATTCTCGAATTCTGCCTACGTGATCCTAAACTCTTTCGCTGATTTAAGATTTCCAATGGAGAAACGGCGAATCTCTTATCAGTGGCACGATTGATTCACTTAACGACGAACCGAGACTAGGCGTCATTAATTATCGTTCACAAGTATGATCATTAAAACCACTATACTTACTTACAATTAGCATCAAAGCACGTGTAACACTATAATTTATAAATGAAACAATATTTATCGGGTCTCTATAATGTCCTGTTTCTCGTCAATATCATTGCTTAAGAGAATGTAGGAATCCCTACCGACCATGAGTCGGTGTTGACCGTTAATCAGGAAGGACGAGCCTCTCCTGATGGTCCTTTTTCCGAGCTCGATCGCTTCGTGCGCCAGCACCGGGCTGTTGTACGCCTTCACGAACACCGTAATAATGGCCGTTAGTCCGACTAGAATCATGCCGTACGAGAAGCAGGGCACAGCGATGTTGGCGAACGTGGTCGCTAGATAAATCCACCGTCTCATGGCCGGCGTAAGCTCCTCTACACCCTCTTCGACCCACATAATAGGGAACACTATATCGGGAAAGTTTGCGACCACCGCGATGCTGGATTGTCGCTCCACTTTCAAATTTAACTGGACACGAACTTTCCCTTCAAGAGGCACACCGAGTTTCTAATAAAACAAGTGGAAAGAAAAGTTGTGTGAAAAGATGTTTTAGATCTAATTTTCTGAGAAAATTTCGAGGTTGTGGAAATTATTTAAACATTAAAGATATAATACAAGTTCTACTATATTTTTACTTTTATACTACTATTTATTCTTTTAGAAGAAATCTAAATTATTATAAGAAATGATGCAGCGATTTTGCTGATCTAGGATTTTTTTTTTAATATTTTACTTACTGGTTGAATTTTGAAGTACGTTTCGTGTAGTTTCTCAACCGGTTTGAGTCCCTCGACGGCTTCTAATAATTCAGGATCCGCTTTGTAAAAATGCGGAAATGAGAGGTAAACAGGCGCACCTGAAATAAAAAGCGAATTACGTTTTCAATTGTCAATTTTTTCCCGTTCGAGAGTTGTATTTTACAAAACACTTACTATACTGGCACGGACTAATGTCTTGCAAGCCTTGCGGGGGGCAAGTGGCAATGCCATCGGTGCAAAAGCACTCGTTCTCCATAGGGGCGGTCTCATTCGGTCGACCAAACAGTGCGTCCGGTGGTGTATACAAATCCGCTTTGATACCCGTCTTTTCTACCGGGCCGCGATACTGCAACGGCATTGTCCTGCAAAGATCCTTGTCCCAGATGTGAACGATATCCGAACCGGTCAGTTCTCGCGGCGGAAAGAAGGATCCTGCAATGTGCGTTTCAGATTTACTCGTAATAACACATATGTGAAAGCTCAATTCATTGAAACAAAGAAAATTTCACGTATTTCATATGCATAAAGTTACCTTCCGAAGCTGTAATAGAGTTACAAGGCGCGTTCGGCCAATATGGCAAGTGATCGAGCCCGTTCAATCGATTTAGCAATCCGAACTCTTTCATACTCGTATGTCCGGTAAATATTGTATGCATTTCACTCAATGTGCCGTTTCTCTGCAATCGATATTTGATTAGGAATTGCAAACAGAGAATATTAATTTTGCAATATTGATAAATATTTTTTAATATAAAATATGTATTTCTCTTTCATAAAAAATAACCAAATACATGAATCAATGATTATTGCAATACTTACTCCGAGAAAGAGACCCATTCTACTCATAGGTCGTCTTGTTTTTGGAAAGAATCGATGTGCAATGCTAACTAATGGATCGTCATAACCGAAGACGAGTTCCTGTGCAGTTATAGGAACGAACGGTTTCATATGCAATCCGCTCAAGAAAATTGACAATCCCATTGTGATAAAACGCGGGAGACTCTTGCTTTGCGTCGAAAGTGTCTGCAAAAAAAACATAGAATATTTTCAAATCTTCTTAATATAAATAAGAATAGTTATAATTAATCCTAAAAATTCGAAAGAAATCCAACTTTTGTTTTCAATCAACACGCCAATATGAGAAATACGACAAAGTAAACGAAAGTTTGACATAATAATTAGCAGTGATGATATTTGTAAAAAAAGTAAATAAAAATATTAAGAAATTTGTGTACGTTCTAAGAAATGATGAAACATATTACGCTCTGATAGATGATTTCTGAAATTAATATTATAGAAATGTGTTTATATCAATTTATCACGTAAACTCACCAGTAAAGGTATATTTGGCACCATCACTTTGATATCTCCATCTTTAGACATTTCAGGCACGAAATTCAGGATTTTTTTATGCTGATAACTTACGGTTCCGTTATTATGAAACACAATGTTAACTTTCTCCATATCTTCTCTGTAAAAAGTACGCATTCAATTTTTTCTGTTCGAAATGCTGACGCTTCTGATAAATCTCGCTTGTTAGTACATAATCCGGATGATGTATCGTTAAAATGGTTAAGAAATTATAGTTACAACGCAAATTGCAAAAACTGTTTGTAGAAAAATCTATTTTCGAATTCTCAGGTTATCGCGTCGGATATAACGAATAAAATTTACCGATAAACAAACGGGCCAACTTCCTGAAGCTTCGGCTTCTCGTTCAATTGTAAAAAGCTCTCCGCATTGGTTACATTAAATATGTAAACTTTCGTCAGTCGAACCACACCTGGTTTCTGCCAATATTGAAAGGAGAGCGAGCCGTTCCATAATCGCAGTTGCTGTGGAAAAATGCGGATTGAATTGTTATTACCAACATACGTGCGATTTCTTTCAAAATAATACTGCAATCTGTACATATGCGTGGCTGCGTTTTATTTCAAACGATTTATCGTAACATTGATTAATCCAAAGAGAAATAATTGCAGTTTGATGATTTGGGAAAGTTAATTCGTGAGAAATCGAACAATATTATTTGTTGTATTGATAAGAAAAAAAAGTTGTATGTTTTTTTTCTGTGATGCACACCTGGCATTATTACACGATTATCTCGATGCACTTTAAAACATCTATCTTGCATTAAGGATTTAGGTAATTTCCAGAGAAATTAAAAACAGAAGAATTAAAGCGATTACTAAGAGCTCTTATGTAGATAAAATTGAATTCTTAATCGTTGAAATAAGTTGTATGTTCTCAAGTTTGCTTTGTACTCTTTTTTTTGTAGAAAGGCTTTTACTCTGATTCTTCTTAACAGAGAGGAAATGTGCAGTAAGAGAAAGTGCAAAAAAGGAAACAAGCTTCTATTTGTGTTGTAAAATCCTCAAGAGACATGAATTATTTTCGCGGAAGTTAATAATTTAATCACTCAAACATTAAAAGTTGTAATGCAATCATGAAAAAAGTATATTATGAAATAATTGTGTAAACTTCTTGTAGGATCAATTTTTGTTAAAAATTAGAAGCTGTTTTTATGACATTTGATTCGAACGATTAGCATCTAGATAATTTACAAAAATATAATATACAATTTAATTAAGAATAATTTATATATACAAAATTGCCGAACTTAAACTGCGTTAAGTAGCATCATTAATAAAAATTATGAGACGTTTATTGTAATTCTTGATTGCCATTCTGACAATCATAAATCTGCAGACGACATAACGCGCGCTTTAAGACGACTTTAGACGATAAAAGAGACTCGCAAGGATATTTGCTGCGAATGCAAATTACACGTGCGCCGTAAAAAATATTCAATATTCCTTGCGCGATACTTACTTTATCCAGTCGCATGTATATAAGTTCATATTTTTGCATGGAAGGAAAACGGAATCGAAAGGCGAGAACGCGTCAAAGTAGTGACTTTACATCATTATCGCGCCGACGATATATCATTACTCATTTACGGCAATCTTATCGTAGAAATAGATGCTTTCAATTATGTCGATTGCACACAAATGTGATTAAATCGCTACATCATTACTTTTAGAAATGTTCTAGACACACATGATTAAATTAACTTCTAACATGACAAATCTTCCATTGTAGCTTATAAAATGAAATTCAAAAGTAGATGAGGCTGTTTATAATAAATTAATCATTAAGAATTGCATCAATTTTATCAAATTTTGTTGATACAAAAACGAAAGAACACAGTACGCTAGAATTTTTGCAAAATCTTGTATTATGTATTTATCGAATATTGGACGAATGTGTATCTTAAGGTTTTTCACACTTACTCTTAAAATGAGATAGTCGACCCACGGTATGCTACTGAGCACTATACCGATTACAAGTGCAAGAAGACCTAGACAGATTGCTGCTATCCTACCTGTAAAAAAAAGCAACAATATTAATGACGTATTACAAAATGTACGTTCTTAGATAGCGTTCTTAGATAGAGTACGTTCTTAGACGCGTATTTACGTAAATGATTTTTTGTCGATATTTGTCGATACTGCAATTATCCAGGTATTACTCATAGGGCAAGCATCGACCTACATTTGACAATTGGTGCCGCGTATAAAGTGAAGCAGATCTTGTGTGAAGCTTATACACATTCTACATTAGCAATACTAGAAAAACGCACATTATGAAAAATTATTAGCACAAAACAATGTATGATTATTATTTATTCTTTTGTTTTCAACGTTATAGATTCCTTATATCTAAAAATTATCATTTCTTTTACAAGAAAAATAATTTATTTGAGGCAGTTAAATAAGAAAATAATTTAAAAAAATTTTTTTTACAAACATTTTTTGTGCCCATAATGCTAAGTAAACTGTAAATACGAAATAGAAACGCTTGGTTTGTAGAATAGTGCGTAAATAACCTGGAAACATGAATTATTACGAAACACACTTTCCATAGCAATAATCTTAGATCTTAAAATCAAGATTAAGCAAGAGAGTTTTTGCTACCAATCTGACAATCTCTTTTTTTTCTTGCACGCGCACAAGTTCATAGACTTCTTCAAAAAACTTTTAAATAAATTTACAGATATATAAAATAATAGATGCGCATTATTTTTAACACATGAAATAGATTTGTATGCACAAGAAGATTAATGATATTTTTTACAATGATTAATTTTCAAACACTTACACTTTTTAATATTTTATATTTTATACATTATTCATATTTTATATATAATTGCTATAAATTTTTTTAAATTTTAGAACGCTTCTCAGAACTTTGCATAATGATTAAGTGATTGTTAGTGTTGACAAGAAATCAAAGTGCGTATTGTAGACGACGACGTCAATATTTCTTGCGACAAATTACATCACACGCTTATTAATGTGCAGTAAAAACGATAGTGCAGCTTATAACAGCTGATACACGCAAACTTTGTTCGATCTTATTTGTCCGATATTGATAATGATTAGTCTCATTATCAGTTTAAACATTCGCAAATGATTATTCTAATAAATAAGTGCACGTTATGCGAAACTAGTCGATTAACATTGAACGATTGACATTTGCATTTTATTTTTTGTCCCTGACGAAGGATAATTAAAATTAACTAGATAAATTTCCGAGGTAAATTAACATCTTTGCCGAGCCAGATGTGTACAACTTGTATGATAACTCGGGCAGTTTATATAATTCTTACGAAATCCCCGCAACATCATTGGGAGTTCTTCATCGCGTATAAGTCGGTCACCGTGCTTTCTCTCTCGAATTAAATGTAGGATATTAATGATGCAATTTTTAAATTGCCTTAACATTATCTCCAATGCACCGCACCAGGGTACATTGACAAAGTGCAGTACGGTTTACAAGTACAAAATATTTTAGTCAATTATTTATGAGAGAAAAATAAAAAATATTTTTATGCATTATTTTGGTTATTTTTTCAATGAAATTATATTCATAAATCAACACTCGTGTCATGCTAAATATATAGCGTTGGGCAATATATAGCGAAATAACACATTGATGAAGTTGATAAAAAGTGCTAAAATTACAGAGCATTTAAGAACCTTGTTTTTGTTTCTTAATTTTATTAATGAACATGCGCCGCTTCCCCGCAGAATTTCGAACCTTTTGCTTGAGAGCATTCAACGACCTTGGATTACTCAACATCCGAACGTACGAGCCTCTTATAGGCGGACGACTTTTAATCATGTACTATATGTCGGGGACGTTTTAATCAAATATGCTAAATCAAGGTTGCTTTTCGCAATATCCACGATCCGTCTAATTTTTGTTTAACACTTCTCCGTGCCATAGCAACTTTTAAATCTCTCCTTTCTCGTCAATCGTTGGTTTATTCTCAGTTATGCATCATTTAAAATTCTTCTATTTAAAGTACACATTCCGTCTATCATATCTCAGTTTCTTTCTAGCTTCTAATTTCATTAAATCATAGGTGCTTGTACTGCTAATTATTCGAAGTCGATTGAATCATTTATAAATCTGTACTCTTAATTTACATTCATGCATTGAAGTGCAGTTAAAAAATAGCACTCTATCTCTCCGTCTTCATCTTTGCAGCACTTAAGTAGAAAGCATTTAATTGTTATAATTATGTATTATATAACATGATATATATCCATATTCGTGATTTTTTTGCAAATTAATTCGATTCTATGTCAATGAATATTACTCGACAATGTTATCTATAATCGGAGTTTCTATTTCATATAACAATTTCTCTCTAAAATGACAGTAATCAGTTCGTAGATTTTTCTACGATGCCTGTTAGCACAAGTAAAGGCTCGTTTGTGTGTTGCAATTTTTATCTATTTTATAAAACAGAGTGTAATATAATTCTACTGAAATTACTAATTTCATTTTAAAAGGTAGAAAATTACCACTTTAAAACTATTTTGTAGAGATGAATAGCGCAATTATTAACTCAATTGCACGATTACTATTACAAATTTAATAAGAATAGATTACTCGTACGTAATACCGTTTTATTACGCAAATATAATTCTTAACACGAAGGCAATCAGTAGCGATTGAAAGGATCAACACCGCAAACGCAACGTTTGTTCGGCAATTTATAGTTCGCATACCATAGAGAGAGTGCAAAATAACACGCGCTGCTCACACAAAGCTACGTGGCATTTGTTAACCATGATGGTATAAATTACCTCTGGGACTCGTTGCATAACACTTTGCGATCTCTCCTTTCTCAGACGCTACTGGCCAGCTACCGGCCAGTCATGCCCGAAGTTCGATTTCTTAATCTGACCTCGAGAAGATGCGTGCTTCAAGAACGCGATCTCGGCCGAATCAATCTTGTGTTTTCAGTAAACTATAAATAATTGACAATCTGAATTATACTTTGTTTTTATTATCGCTACTTTTATTCCGCTTCAGTTTTGCTTCGAGAATATTTATCAACATATTCGTACATGAAATAAAACTATTATAAAAATTATTATGAGCAAACAAAAACCATTAAAAATACACTTTTTTTGTTTTGTGCAAATTCAGAAATCTATTTTAATTAAAAGGAAATAAGTGCTACAAAAATTATTTGAAATAGAGAAACTAATAAGCTTAAACGATTGTGTCATTAGGCTGTTATCTTAATTTTATCATACTAGGTATGTAATAAGAGAAACATGGATCATCGATCATCGGTTGTGATTGCGATGAAACCGTTTTGAACGGTTCATTAAGTAAGATTAATTTGCGGGTTCTCTTAAGAACGCGATATTATGCATGCGAACATAGTCGGTGATCCTTTAATCACGGTGCGATAAAAGTCACTGAATATCAATTATCGCGCTCTAACTACCGGTAATTGTATAAATGATACTTAACGGCTCATTGTTTCTCTTTTATCCCCCGTTCAGTTTATAGTCTTGTTGCATAACTCGCGGTTAACTGGAATCGTGCTCTCCACAGACTCTTAGCATTATTGCATGCCATTACTCCGCGTGTCAGTTCCGTACACCGGAAATAATGCGGATGATCAAGAGCTTTTGGTGCAACTTTTATATCGCAAAGGAGAAATTATAAAAATTAGTTTGTCAAAATTAAAAATGTAAGAATTCCTAAAAATTTTTAAATATAAGAACTCAAGATTTTCAAAGTTTGAGAATCCGAAGAGCTGAAGACCTAAATTTTCCTAAGAAACTACCTCTTTAAAACTTATTTTTCTATAGCTTTTTCACTTCTTTTTTTTATCAATGAAGAAAATGTGATTTGAGAAGCGAATTATCTTGCATGAAAAACTCTAAAAATTTTTCCTCCATCAGTATTATAATATATTTTATAAGTTTGTTATATTGTTAGATAGAAAAAAAGAATTTTACTATCGTAGCGTCGTTGCTGTTGCATATTAAATGTGATAGCGATAAACTTTGCTACTGTAACTAATTTTTTCAATTGATTTGATGTATCAATAAAATTTATTTTACTGGTAGAATAGTCAAATTTTTTGTGAGTATATTTGTCCGTAAGAACACATTAATTTGCTACTACAACAAAATAATTTATTTTTAACAAACATATTTTGCCAATGCAGCAAAATTGTCAATACAAATTTTGATGGTAAAGCAAAAATCAATTTGTTATAGCGATATAATTTGTAGATTTAGCAAAATTATTGGCAATAAATAAAACCAGCATTCTTAACAAATCTTTTTGCTATCTATATAATAACCATCATGTTTTGCTATGTTTTCTAACAGCAAAAAATTTGCTGTGCCAGCAAATTTTTTCTTTCCATGCATCATTACATTTTCATGTATCATTTGCCGTTAACGTTGTTCTTGATCTAGAAACGGATTTGAAAAAAAACTAAGAAACGGATGCGGACATGTTTGCGCAAGTCATTCGATCATACCTTGCACCGGCCATTCATCTCGAGATACAACCGCTATAATGAAAGTCGTGATCATTTCCTCTGGCATGGAAGATGCAACCCGTGGCTAAAGTTCGATCGAGCGTGGCAATTCGCGTGTAATATATCACTTTGCGGGAATCATCGGCGAAAACGAGCAAAAAATTAAATTTCTTAAAATTACACGCTTTGATTTTTTGAATTCTTTTTTTGCAATATACCTTACAATAATTATCATTTCTTTTTTAATCTCTTTTAATAAGTTCTGTGATAATTTATGCAATTCAAAGCAGAATTATTCTAATGTGACATTTGCAAATAGAAAAATTCCCTCGAGATATCTGAAAGATGTGTAAAATAGCATGTCTAACGTTATCTAGATATCACTGTATTTTAACTATAGACGCACATCCGCGTTCCTTCGTGCTACAAGTGCCACAAAACCGCTCATTAGATATCGCGGATGCGGTAATATCACTGATGCGATTTCGGTCAGCGCAGCATCCGCGCGTCGCCGTGCG